TACACCTCGAAGGCTTCTTGATTTAAACTTAGTTGTTAGAAAAATCCTTCCCCTCTACTCCTGTTAGTTTGTTGTACTATTATGGAGTGCATATTGCTGTGATGCTGGAAGTTGTTGTTGTTAAGTGCTGTCGAGTTGGTTCCGACCCATAGCAACCCTGTACAGGGTTTCCAAGGCTATAAATCTTTATGGGAGCAGAAAGCTTCATCTTTCTGCCACGGAGCGGCTGGTAGCTTCGAACCGCTGACCTTAAGGTTCACAGCTCGATTCATAACCACTACACTACCAGAGCTCCTTGATGCTGGAAGTCAGGCCACCAGTATTTCAGATACCAGCAGGGTCACCCAAGGTGGATAGTGTTCAGCAGGGCTTTCAGACTAAGAAAGACCAGCAAGAAAGTCTTGGTGATCTACGACTGAAAATTAGTTAATGAAAACCCCATGGAACACAAGAGAATATTAACAGCTGTAGTACTGGAAGATAGTGTCCCCTGGGTTGGAAGAGCCTCTAAATATCCAAGGGCTATAAAATGAACTCAAGTATGCCAACCATCAAGAAGATACCACACCAAAGCACCTTCCAAGACTGAGATTCAAGGGGAATACACGAGCAGGCACATAGTCTTGCTGGTGATCACATTGGTGTACTGATAAGGGGAAGTGGGGGAAAAATAGCACTGAAGTTGTGAGCTAAGTCTGACAATGTTCAACAGACTCCTTCCTGTCCACCTGGATTGAGACCTGGTTGGCCAGTGGTATGGCAAAACCTGGGGACTCCTGGACCCAGAGACAGTGAAATGGCCACAGAGGACTAGAGCAGAGAGTGAAGTGTCCAGCTGATATGAAGTGAGGGGAGATGCACAAGAACACCCATACTTGCAGATAGTATTCACTTGACCTGGCTTCAATGGCTGGATGATCAGAACCCTACTAGAGGAAGAAAGAAGAGAAAAAAAAAGAGTAACCCGCTACAATTTGATGAACTTGTCCTATACTTATGGATGGAGTATCTCAAAAGAATGAACAAATCTTTACAGTGAGGATCATTCCCACCCCCTCAGTACACAGGGTAGACAGGGATGGGCAACTTGGACTTTGGCTACCCAAAATAGGGTGGGGAGAGCCTACAAAGGCATTAAGTGACAGGCTTACAAGCTTTCCAGAGGGAACCTAATTTCAGAGAGTGTGGGGGAAGGTAGAATCTCCACTGAGTGGTTTTCAATCTGACTGGATGGGGCTGATGAAAGACAGGGTTAAGACTCTTGTGCTTCAACTGCTATCAGGACTGATTGTGAATGTTGCAAATGTAAAGGTAGATGTTTCATAACAAAAGGAAGGGAGTGGTTGATCTTGCACCTCAGGAGCAGAGGTACCTGGGACCATCAAGGGAGAAGAGCAGAGTGTGGGACCCTACCCAGAGAAGCAGTGACTCCAAAGAAGGAGGCAGAGACGATGACATTGAGAGATGGAACAGCTGGGGACTCTGGAGTCAGGGAGGGAGAGGGACTGTGTGCTGACAGCTGGGGGGCAGGCTTGTGGGGTGTACCCTTTTGTTGTTTTATGATGCATGGAGGGGATTGTAATCATTGCAATGAAACGATATACGATAGGATAACTGTAAAGCTGATGTTCTCCCATGTAAACTATCACTTAATTCACAGTAAAAACTTAAAAAAAAAAAAGATGTCACAAGCCCAGACACTGTTTTGTTCCCTTGTGCATAAAGTCACCATCAGTCAGAGCAGACTCGACAGCAGCTAACAAGAAGCTAGAATAAACAACTGGCTTTTTATTTTTAACATGCAACTGTAAACATGCTCTAAGCATGCTCTTGTAAGAAATTGACTATGTGGGATCAAATAGACAATAGCAATTTGAAACATTAGATAGAAGTTTAGGGGTCGTTACATTTATGTTAATGAAGGAGAACTGATTTGGAAGTAAAGGTGAATATATGCAATGTCACTAAATTGTGCATGTGGAAACTGTTGAATTGGTGTATGTTCTGCTGTATCTATATATATATCAGCAACAACAAAAATAAAATTATTTAAAAAACAAAATATAACCTAATCTTCCAAGGTGTTCATGCCATTAGAATCGCCCGTGTGTTGCTGAGTAAGGTGGACTTGGGGATTCTCCATACACAGCTTGTCAAGAATACAGTAGTGCCACATCACGTTCACAGATTCCTAATTTAAGGAACATGTACAGAGGGGCTGCTCGTAGAAAAGGAAAGTATACCTTGTCCAATATCAAGTTGTCTCTACTTTTAAAATTACAAATCACTTAGGAGGCTCATGAGTCTCAATCCTGTAAATCTAGCTATAAGCTTATTTGCCAATTGCTAACTTCTATGTGCACAGAGCTTTTCAGCAACCTTTATCAATTTTGCACATTTGCTTACATCTCTTGGCAAAAGAGTTGTATTTGATAAAAGCATTCTTTTGAGCCAGCTATTGTTTAAAAATGGATTCTAGGAAGGTTTCTCTATTGATTCCTCAGAACCCAAAACCAAATCCACTGCCATCAAGACGATTCTGACCCATAGTGACCCTATAAGTCAGCGTAGAACTGTCCCATAGTTCTTCCAAGGCTATAAATCTTTATGGAAGCAAATTGCTTCATCTTTCTCCTGTGGAATTGCTGGTAGATTTGAACTGCCAACCTTCCTGTTTGCAGCCCAATGTTTACTTAACTCGCTGTACCATCAGGATTCCTTTTGATTCCCCAGAGATGGAATTTGAATTGATAATGATTGTGAAAGGTGAAGTGGACCAGGAGAGAAGTTGTGTGAGAGAGAAATTAATTTGTGAGACGTGATTCATTTTACAGAGATGGAAAACGATGACAAATGGTCTTGACAAGGCAGCTATTTCATTATAAACTTGTTTTTAAAGGAAACTTCTAAAATAGCACTGTTTCCTTGCAGTATGTGGAAAGGGCAGTGAACTGAAGGTAGCAGCACATAGCTCAACATTCCTGTGGGTTGTATTCCTGATTCTTCTCCTGCCTGTAACTTCAGCTAATCACTTCAGCTCCCTGTTTCAGTTCTGTCTTTAGTCAAACGTTGGGATGGGTAGAAACATATGCCCTGTCTCATAGAATAACTACGCAGAAAAGTGGTATAACTTGCCTTGAATGTGAAAATTCTCTACAGTGCTCTGGAGTCCTTGTGTCATGCTAAGGATAAGCGTTGGACTGCTGACTGTAGGGGTGGTAGTTCAAACCCACCAGTCGCTCCTCAGAAACCCTATACAAGGTCACTATGAGTCGGAACTGATTCAATGGCATTTAATAACAACTGTAAATGCTCTGATAAATGTGAATACTTATGATAAACGTGAACTTATACTCCTCCATGGGAATGACCCAAATCTCTACCCAAATATTCAATTTACTACAAGTCCCCAATGCCCAGACTAAATCAGAAAGGTAAGGAACTACATTCTAAGGAAATGAGAAATGATCTAGCATAATCCAACATCCCCATAATGTGATCCCTGAAAGAAGCTGGTTTCCCATGGCTGCAGGAGCATCACAATTCTGGACACTGAGTCTGTTTCTACCATAGAGCATCTGTTTTTTAATAAAAGTTAATAAGGACCAGTGGCAGTCCCACTCTTTGCATAACCAAGAACCACAGCTGTGAAAAATCAACATTGAGTAATTCAGATCAGCGGTTACAAAGTATGGAGCCAAACTGGAGAGAGAAATTCTCTGGGAGTTTAAACTATCAAGTCATTTCCAACTCACAGTGAACCACGTGTATCAGAGTAGAAGCATGGTTCCACGTGTATCAGAGTAGAAGCATGGTTTTTAACAGCTGACTTTTCAGAAGTAGATCACAAACCTTTCTTTTGAGGAGCCTCGGAATGGACTCAAACCTTCAACCTTTCAATTATGAGTATGTTTACCAATCATACCACCCAGAGGCTCCTCTGGGAGTTTACCTACCCTCACTTTCTTCTTGATTTCTTCATAACAAAGTTAAATGCTACTGAAAAAATAAAGACATCTCTTAATGACAAACATCTAAGACTCTACTGCTAGATTAGTTGGACTTGATCTTACAATTTCAGAAAGCAAATATACATTAAGATCAAAAGTCAATTTAATGTCTTATTATGCATGATGCATTTTTTTCCTTTGCCAAGAATGAAGATGAAAACAGAAGTCAAAAACTAATGAAACTGGGAACGTGAAGTACATAAGGCAAGATACATATAAATCTAAGAATAAAGGAGCTCTGGTAGCATAGTGGTTACGAATCGGGCTGCGAACCTTAAGGTCAGCAGTTCGAAACTACCAGCCGCTCCGCGGGAGAAAGATGAGGCTTTCTACTCCCGTAAAGATTTACACCCTCCTCCGCGGGAGAAAGATGAGGCTTTCTACTCCCGTAAAGATTTACACCCTCGGAAACCCTGTACAGGGTCGCTATGGGTCGGACCCGACTCGATGGCACTTAACAACAACAACAACAACAACCCTAATGTGCTGAGAGACCTACTTGACTGAAAATTTTTTTTTTAAGTTTCATTCCAAGTTGCTGCAAATGCAATACATTCTATGGTGTTCAAGCCCATGGTTTCAAGAGGTTGGAGTCCGGTCATCAGAAGTTCTTTCTTTGATAAGATCTCTATTGCAAATTCAAGCGTGCCTTGATGACAACAATGGCAATGATTAGTACCGGTAATTCAAACCCAGGAAAAAGACTCTACTTAATCTAGCAGCTCCTACCGAACAATGTGTACGTTGCATAGTTATGAATTGTAGCTCCTGGTGGTGGCAAGTTCACTACATTATGAAAGCAAACACTGTGTCTTACATTGAGTATACAGCATGCCTTTGATGCTCAGTACAAGAAAAATCTACTACCCAGCAGATAACGGGACTGAGATGTGCAGAGATGTGGCAGTCTGTTGTTCTTTTTCTGTGCCCCCAAAGAGATTTAAAAAAATAACAGCATCAGTGACTATCTCAACGAAACCTCAGTCCAATTCAAAACTCATCTTCAGAGCTGTCGGCTAAGAGCATCACTCGATCTTGCATGCTGTTGAATTCTCTCTGCTAAAGAAAAAAGAAAACAAAAAACAGAAAAGCATGATTAGATGCTGTCTCAAAGCAAAGCTAAGAAACAGGTCCACTTGAAAACAAATGGTGAGGTAGCAATTGCAACTAATAATCCTGGTCACTGAGGTCCATATTATTCATGCATCATTAAGCCCCATGTGCTTTATTAAGCAAATGGAGATAAGCAAAGAATGTTCAGAAACTGATTAAGTTTTGCTGTTGCTGGTTCCCTACCTTTCTTTTATGCCTTTTGAAGCCATTTCTTCTTCGGCGATTCATAACCTTAATGCTATAGAGTGCTCCCAAGATGAACAAGGCTCCAGCAATCCCAACCCCTACGGGTACCAGCATCCCAGACAAGTAGCCAGCCTGCAGAGAAAAGGAAACAGGCATTAAGATGCTAAACAGACCAATTTCCTCATTGGTTTCTCTTTCTTGCTAGATTACAACAAGTTTTTTAGATGTTTTGAATTCCCCTGTTTGTTATATTGGAAAATAAAACCGCAGCCTGGAACAGTTACGTTTTAGGGAGACGGCAACAAGAGAGAGGTGTGACTATTATTGGAGATTTCAAAATCTTAGAAGTAAGTATTAAAATAAATCAGTCAGACATAGTGACACCTCCAGTTACAGTCACTGCATATACACATCTGTCAACATCAGGTTTTGGTGACAGAATTAAAGATGAGTGATGTAAGCTTTAAATGCTGGAGCTATTAAAGAGCTATAAATAGGAACTGTCAATCTGAGTCAAAGACCAAAGGAATACTCTGGAATACTGTGTTTCTTTGAGGGCAAAAGGGCCTAGACATGTGTAATAGATGGAATTGTGCCCAAAATACGTATTGATATCCTAACCTTATACTGGTGAATATAATTCTGTTTGGAAATAGGGTTTTATTCTGTTATGCTAATAAGGTCATGGACTCCTGGTGTGGTGCTGTAGGATCAGCACTAGCCTACAAAACACAAGGTCGGCAGTTCAAACCCACCAGCTGCTCCTTGGAAACCCTATACAGAGTCACTAGGAGCTGGAACCAACTCCATGACACTTAAACAACAGGAAGATCATACTCATGTGTGGCTAAATTTCATCACTTCTGCATTATAAAAAATCAGAATGATCAAAGACACAAACAGGGAAGACATTCAATGTGAATGGAGGTCATCTACAAACCAAGGAACAAAAGATATCCAGAGCTGCTGACCAAGCCTCTAATTTAGACTTAGAGTCTTCAAAAATGAGAGAAAATACAGCCTGGTACTGGAACAATGAAAGATACATAGATCAGTGGAATAGAACTGAGAATACAGAAGTTTACCCATCCACATACAGCCAATTGATCATTGACAAAGGGCCAAAGTACACTGAATGGGGAGGAGATAGTCTCTTCAACAGATGGTACTGACAGAACTGGAAATTGATACACAAAAGAATGAAACAAGACCGTTATCTCACACCACATCCAAAAACTAGTTCAGCATGGATTAAAGACCTAAATGTAAATCCCAGAACTATAAAGGTCACCAATAAAAAAAATAGGGATACATTTAAGGGCTCTAATACAGGGCACACATAGTCTATCAAACACTGTGAAAATTTCACAAACAAAAGAAGACAAAATAGATGATTGGAGTATATTAAAAATTAGAAACTTATGTATATCAAAAGATATCACCCAAAGAGTAAAAAGGGAGCCCACAGAATGGGGAAAAAAAATCTTTTGTAGCAACATATCAGACAAGGGACTAATTTCTAAAATCTGAAGGAATCTACAACACCTCTATAAGAAAAAGACAACCCAATTAAAAAATGGGCACAGAACATGAACAGACACTTTACCAAGGAAGATATTCAGGCAACCAACAAACATGAAGAAATATTCACCATCATTAGCCATTTTTTGTTAAGTGCCATCAAGTCAGTTCCAACCTATAGCAACTCTGTATAGGGTTTCCGAGGACCAGCTGGTGAGCTTGAACCACTAACCTTGCAGTTCAAACGGTTTTGTAGTCTGGAGCATTAACCCACAACACCACACCAGGACTCCATCATTAGCCATTGTTGTTGTTGTTGTTAAGTGCCGTCGAGTCTGTTCCAACCCATAACGACCCTGAACAGGGCTTCCAAGGCTGTAATCTTTACGGGAGCAGAAAGCCTCCTCTTTCTCCCGCGGAGCAACTGGTAGTTTCAAACTGCTGGCCTTGCAGTTCGCAGCC